AAGAGATCCATAAGTCTTACTCCAGAATTTTTCTGACTGCATTTGAATTTTTCATTTTTTTTTAAACTGTGCATCTCAAATGTGCACTAATTCCCATTTGTGCATCACCTGCCTATATTTCAGTCAGTCTGAGAACTCAGTTTCAACTGTATAGATACTATTGTTCCTGATTCTTTCCTGAGCTTTAAGTGGTCAATGCCATGTTGGATGGGGCTTTGAGCAATCTGTTTTAGTGAAAAGTATCCCTGACCATGACAGGGGGGTTGGAACTAGATGGTCTTTAAAGGTCCCTTCCAACCCAAACTATTCTATGATTCATTCTATGATTCCTGAGAGTACAACTGAATTCAAGGGTGATTTCTACATTTTTGATGTGTGATATTTTCATTGCTCTTAGATGCATGATCTTGCATCTAGTCACCAAGTGAATCTTATTTAGCAAATGGACTAACTTTTGCTAGACGTCAGATAAGTGTAAAGCAGAGGTTTCCAAACTGCACATTCTGTTCCACAATACAAATTGTTCTATTATCACAGAGTAATGGAACTGCCTTCTTCAAAGTTCATGCTGGTGAATTACATTAAATTCCCATTGAACACATTAAATCATATTTAATTTACACATATTGAATTTGCATGGCTGTAATTGCCATGTGTTCTAAATGTTCATGTATGAAAGAGCAAGCAAGGCAAAAGATAATTTTTTTTTTTTTTGCAGTGACATGTGACCGCTGTCATGAAATGCTTTGTCCTGAGGAATGTATTTCTGGTACTGGAATTGTTAAGGAAATTGTGACTAAAAGTTTTTTGAGCTTGCTATTACTTGATTAGTTTCTGAGGTAACCTAACCTAGTAAAGTTACAAAATTATAAAATTTGATCAAGACCTCAGAAGCTTTTAAAGTATTTGGCATTTCTTGCTTGATTTCATGAGCTGATTTAGGAGATTAAAAAATCAAATTGTATTTTATGATAAAAACATATTTGGAAAAATCAGGGATGTAATTTTCAACAGCATTTTTTCCAGTGTGTGGCACAGAATGCGTATGGATTAGCCATAGATATTGCTATGAAACATAATGAGTTTCTGTCCTTTTTTGCCTTTTCCTACATCTTCCTTTATCTGCAAAATTCCCCAGCCTTGGAGATACATAAAAATGAGACATTAGCTGAAGTTTTCTCTCTTAAAACTCCAATTTACTTTGCCATGTACTTATCTTCTCAACTGTGGGGATATATATATGTGCATATTTTCATGAGCTACTTAAACAGATACATGCATCTCTAAATAACTGATGGATGCATTCTTGGTATGCTCATAAGCCTGTTTTATTTTTCTCTGTCCTCTTTGTTCCCTAGATGCTATTCTTTTAATTCAAAACATTTCCCTTGCTGTACATTTTAGAGTGAGCGCTTATCAAAGCATAACTTTAGCTCATGACACTACAGGTCTCATAAGAAATAATTCAATCACTGCTTTAATAAGCAGCATATTTAATAAATCCATATAGAGTCAGTAGAAATTGCTCATGATTTTGCTCTGGTTAAATATCAGCATGTATATAAACCCAAAGCTTTATGAGCCTTTGCTGTAACTCTTTGCCAATAGCAGTGATGGGGCAAATTAATTTTTATTCCCAACAGAAGATTTTGCTGCTGGGGTCATACTGCATTAACTGCGATCACATCTATGTTTTGTGGCTATAAATACATTGTTTTTGTAAAAATAAGTATATGTGAATGAAGTATAAGATCTGACAAAAATAAAGTCTATACACTGACCCATCTGAATTGATTTAATGTGTCTCAGAAAACCTTGAGATACAAAATCATGCTCACAATACATTACATCCTAAATGAAGCCAGTTACTTCTGATTTAAGATGACGTTCACTGCCTCTTAAAAGAACTGCTTCATTTGCTTATTACTTTGTTAAATTTTAAGTTCTGTGAGGGGGAGTGAACATATACATAACTAGTAGTTAGTCAGCTTATGGAGTTTGAGTTGTTGAGCTTTTAGTAGGATTTTTTACAGTTTGGGTATGGTTTATCTATCTCCAAGAATGGGATGAGGAAAAAAAAAAAAAAAGGTGGGTCTATGTAAAGAAATGTGTTCATCTGTTTTCACTGAAAAGCTATAATATTTTAGTGATTAAGGGCAAAGAATGAAATAAGGGCAAAAAAAAGTATTTTTCTGACAAAGCAGTACCCATTTGTACCTAAGAAAAACAGCCACCCCTAACCATATTACAAGTCTTTGCATGTTTTAGAAGGAACAGTATAGTAGAAATAAATGAGACTAGCATCTATAGAAGATTTTTGAGTTTAACAGCTGAATTCTCAGCATAATGGCAGATGAAGGACTAACAGACAGGGAAGAGGAAAGGTGGAGACTGAAACACTGATGCAGTTACGGACATGATAGAAAGTTTTGGCAGGAAGACTTTGGAGAGTTAGTGGCAGAAAGATTCTCTCCTGGTTCTTGAGAAGTGACATATCTAGGCTCATATAGACTCCCAGGCTTAAGATAGGCCATTCTCAACTTTTTTTCTGTGAGTGTACTGGTAGAGTGGATGTCTCATCTCCCTTAGTGATGGCCTGTTAAGGTATCTCTGTAACAGCTAGTAAGTGCTCTGTTGGCTTAAGTGACAATTTTCCAACCTGTTTGTGACCTGAGTGACTGGTTTCATATGAAGAAATTCTTGTGGGGTTGTTTGGGGTTTTTTTCCTGTCTGTTTTATTCCATTTTAAAACCTGTGAAGTTGCATTTTAAAACTGCATTAGGTAAATGTTTTGGTTGCATGTGCAACCATTAATCCCAATACACTAACAAAAGATGGGAAGTTTAGCTGTGCAAATTTAATTCATCCCATTTATCTGCGTGCATAATGTAGGTGTTATTTACACCATCACATTTCATTTTCTGCAATACTACTGAAGTGTGCTGTGGAGATGAACCTGCTTTCTGTGGTGATGACTTCCATTTTCTGTAGTTCTCCTCTCCTTTTTGTTGCAAAGCTTGAAACTGTGAATGAAGGAAAAGGAAGGATATCTGGGTAAATGCTTTCTTTGAGATTTAATTTCTGTTCCAGCCTCTGCCACAGAATATCTGTGTGAGAGTGAGCTAATAATTTAAACCAAACCTTTTACAGATGACCTCTGATTAAGTGTTTATTATTTTGGGAACCAGAGGCTGGGCTTTTGGAAATGCTGAGCATTCTTACTTACAGCAAAAGTCCCTAGAAGGTGTATGTGGAGCTATGCAATGCTAAATGCTTGCAAAAAATGGCCTGTAGGCATCCCAAATTATTAGCTACTATATCTCATAGTGACTTAATCTCTCATCTGTAAAATGGGATAATACTATATCTTCATTCTTCTTGTAAAATAAATTATGTATTTCTGAATCTTTTGCATGCTATAGTGATGAACGTTGCAGAAAAACACATAAGCAAAATATGATGCTGATTTTAAAGAAAGATAAACTACATGAAGCCATGCCTGGAGTAATGACAGTAAACCACCACTGAATGAAGTTCCAGATTGTGAGAAAAAAAGCAGTTTGTGGCTATTAAATTAAGAATTGTATCATCAACATCTACATAATGGGGGCTGAATTATGGCTGTATGACCAACCTTTTAATTCTAAACTCATGAGCACTTTATTTTGCAGCCTGCATATTCTTTTCATAGGGCCTTGTGGGCATGTGTAATCAGGCAAAGCAATGTGCTCATTATAAAGCTTTCAGGTATATTTTTTGTCACACTAATTTATTACTAATGTATGGATAATAAATAACATCTTGAATAAGAGATCTGCTGAGACCCAATTTCCCTTCTAACAATAACATAAAAGATTTGGTCTTCAAATTTTAGTAATGTATGTCTGTTCAGAAATGTGCTTTATTTGTTTTTGTATGTAAATACTTCCCCAAAATCAATTTTTGCTAAATCCACAAGCGTTTAAATTGCTGGTAGTCTTTATTTACTCTAAATTGCATGTATGCTGTTACTACATTTTTACTTAAAAAGGCTAAGCTTTAATAAAAGACAAGAGAGAACTTTTGGCAAGCTCTATTAAGTTTTAGCAAGTCAAAATCTTAGTTGTATTACACATTAATAAAACTTATTGGAGAATATATTGACATCTACCCCATCTGTATATTTCTCTTTAGCTTGGTTCTTTGAAAAGTGCCTTACCTAAAATCTAGTGTTAAAATTATTATGAAAATAAAAAAGAAACTTCGTAGAGAGACATGGACTACCTCACTTCTTGATAGCAGTTTATAATTTCCTTTATCAAATTTAGCTGAGGCTGTTCTCTCAGTGTGGTTGGGTTATTTTTGTTCTTCCATGGCTGCACAGCAGTGTTTTAAAAATTTTCTATTCATTTTATGTATTTTCAGCTGTCGTGACTGGTTGTCTTGTACCATTCCCCTTGAGTGTATGTGTGTATTTATTATTTTAAACAACAAAGTTGTATGTCCAGATAGGGGTCCCATTAACATTCTATTTCACTAGTAATTGGCAAAAATTTGCATCAAAGGGTTTAGCTTCATAAATGGTAGTTTGTATTATTACTGAGTGGTGGTTGCTGGTTCTTCCCTTTTCACCATATTGTGAATTTTTCACCACTTTGCATGACAGAGCAAGAAAGCTGAAATGGTCAGCTTCACACATCATGTTTCTGAGAGGCTTTGTTATTTTGTATAGTTGTATACTCTACATTTAATGCAAAAACAAAAGAAAACAGATGTAAACACTTAAATTATGTGATTATAGGCAGAGGCATGTGACTGTCTCAAACTTAAGTTTTTGTAAAAAGCATGTGAAACTGTTATTTGATTGGAAATTTCAAGGAAGAATGGCTTAAAAATTCCTTGCAGCCTTTCCTAACTAGTGGGTCCCCTATAACAAAACCAAATAAATCTGTTTTGGAACATTCAGTTTAAAGTAATTTAAACTTATGTTTTGTTGTTTTGTTTTTTGTTTCACTGAGCAGTATATTAATCAATCCTGGAAACCATGTCAAGATTCAAGAAGGTACTTTAGGATTCTTCATTGCAAGTGATGCCAAAGAAGTAAAAAGGTAATTCATATATTTTTATATTTAAGCAAATAGTATTTAATTTCTGTTTTTTCTTTACATGTAAACACCTCACCTAATTTTTGTTATTACCTGTTTAAAGATTCTCAGGGGAAATGAGTTGGTACTCTAGTGAACCAAATGTGTGCATGCCGTTTTCTTAACTACAGTCCTAAATATCAAGGAAATGAAATAATTTTACAGCATATGTGAAAAGAAATGAAGAGGCTTTTTTTTCTGTGTCCTACTAGAAAATGTAAAATGTTTTGATCTGATTTCTCTAGAATTAATTTGTTTCAGTGGAATTACTTTGAGAGAGGACAGGGATTATAGTTTTGTCCAACTTTCAGGATTAGAGTAGTTCTTATTTACATAGACGTCAGCAAATATTTGATGTGAGCAAGCTACTGTATTAATTCAGTAACTGCATTAGCAGAATACTATTTATATTCTTTTCATTTTTCTTTACTGGAACTACATACTCTATGACTTCATAATAATAAATCACATTGCAACAGTGCAGTATATCCCAACCATTGTAGACAACTTCACAGGTTCGTTGTACTTGGCTGTATTAGATTTGGGATGAATGAAAAGGGGGTTTATGGTATTGTGTTTAGGACCAAATCTTGTTTATTAGGATTATAATATGCTTGGAAGGAATAAAAAAGCAATGTGAGAAAATTATTTTTAAAAGAAATTATTATTCAATGTCTGTAAGATAAAAAAAAAAAGAAAAGGAATATTTGCTTCCTCATCATTTGTATTTTTTGTTGTAAGTCACGCTATCAAGAATCTGATTTTTACTTGATGTTCTTCAGTTAGATATTTTAACTAAATCCTATACTTAGAGTGATAAAATATTCAAATGATAACCTTTACTAAGTCCTAAACTTTTTATGATTAAATTACAGTGAAAATAGTATTTAAGCAATGCATGTTTGCCACAAATATTTAAAGAAAGTCAAAACATCAGAACAGTGAAGTCACTGGGAACCTGAATTCTATTTTCTTTGAAAGAGCTAAGATAGTTTTTGGCTGGGTGAAGCATGCAGAACAGCACAGCAGTGCTCCTGTCCTCTCATATTTCTAGCACCATCTCTCGAGTATTTGCATCCAGCACTGCCTCAGGTACACTGCCTTTCAGCATATAGTTCTTTTCCTCTCTGGTGGTTTTCTCCAGTTGAATATACAGAACTGTCTTCACATTCCTTTACTGAGATGCTAGCTTTTTTTCATTTATAAGGCATTTTACACCCTCCTGTGAAATTATTTCTGACTATAAGTAAAAATTACCTGGCATAGCATTTTTAACAGGGAGAAGTTGACTGTTATTAATGTGTTTAGAGAAATTTTACACATCATTCATCTAGCATGTGTTATCTAATAGTAAGCTGAAACAAAATTCCCAATTCTGTCTTGCTTTTTGCAGAAGGCTTTGTTTAGAAACATGCTGCCTCCCTTGCCACATTTCTTAGCTGTTCTGTGCAAAGCCAGTGATTATAAGATGTGTTTCAACTAGCAAAGCCCATTATGTAAAGTGTTGATTTCACCCTTTTGAGCTATGAATCAGAGTCAGAAAAATGTTCTAAAATTTAGGTCTTTTGGAGGGGAAAAAAAGGATTTTTTAATAAAGTAGAATTAAACATGTAATATACCTGAAATTCAAATTAAATTATTCTCGTTTTGTGTTACATGCTAATGGAGAAATTTCAGGTCCTTCAAGCTAAAGCTATTTGTATTTATGAAATATATATTCCACAATGAAATATAACATGCAGTGTTCAGTTACTCTTCTTGCTAGAATTACTTTCCCATTTTTAGAACAATAGTTTCACATTAGAAACAATTATGCCTAGAAACAATTATGTCTAGATAGATAGCTTCATGTAAAATGTTGAGTGTTTAAACGTAATACAGACTATATGAATTGCATCTTTATTATTCTTTATTGATTTACATGTTAGTACTAACATCAGAAATCCACATGCTTCAAATCCACTTAATTCAACCCAATTATATAGTAGGATAATTACAGCAATCACTTCAGGTGTTTGCTCTTGATTTTGCACATAGGATTGAAGGTACTCTTTAGGACATTTGTTCTGCAGTGGGCTTTAGAAACATGATCTGTAGAAATGACCTATGTCCAATTCATGTCATGTATTTTTGTGAAGGAATATTTGTGATAGTGGATTCTTGTTCAATACAGGGGCTTAAAGGTGAATTGGGGAGAAATTGTAAAAATTGGAGGCAGTTTTCTCCTCCTTGCTTATGGCTTGACACTGGCTCATGGTTTGAAAAATATTTTATTCTCATTTCTTTGGAGACAGTTTGTTTTCTTTTTGGTGGAAGGTGAATATTTTGAAGACTAGAAATTTTCTGCAGCAAAGCATACAAATGCTCAGAGAAGGCTTTTTGATTTTACCTTTTGCTTCTTGGAAATAATAAGGCAATTTCACAGTCTGAGAGTGATCCTCTTGGAAGCTTCTAAGACAAATTAAGTCTGCTACATTTAGGACTTGCATCTTCCATCAGTAGCTTGCATGCTGTCTTGATTTTAGAAATGTTAATAACATTCAGTGAGGTCTTGCCGCAAATTTAAATTTTTATTCTCTGGTCCATATCTCATATGTTAGACCTGCTTACCTTTCTCCTGATGGGATGCTTAACTACCAGGGCTGTTATTCAGAGGTGTAAAATAACTTAGATAAATTCTTAACCATTTGAATTAGGTATCTAGTTCATATTTCTGAACATTTCCTTTAATATAGTTCCACCTGTGGTAGACACTGTCTAATTAATCTAAAAAGATTAGTAGCAATCATCCTAGCTGAACTACCAAAGGCTGTGTTTATTCAGAGGCTGTGTATTAATATTGTTTATTTTTCTTTTTATATTTTGGACTGTAGATTGTTCTGTTCCAGTGACTTCCCTACTGTTGTAGCAATCCAACCATCCAGTACTGTCGGCAAAATCCATGGGTGGTTGCAAAGTGGCAGCTTTGGTTCTTACTGCCAATTTTTATTGAACTCAAAACATAGCACCGTACCAACTACTAGGAAGACAGTTAACTCTATCCCAGCTGAAACCAGGACAGAAGTTTGCAATGAGAGAGGGTTGGGAAGATAGGCGTGGAGCTGACATATCCTGAATATGGATAAGTACAGGGAAATTACAGCAGGTTAAAAAGTACATTTAATTTGTTGTGCCAGCAAGAACTCTCATAAATTGTAACTGTCCAGCTAGAGGCCAGCTGCGTGATCCTCATTAAATGTGTCACAGCAGCCTTACATGACATGTTGACTTGACAGGCATGATTAAACTCTCCTGTGGGCAGTCTGATGCATATTTATTAAATGGAATTTTGTTTTAATCTTATATAAAGTCAAGTGTTTACCCTTTCTCACTTCCTTAGTTCTCCTTGTGCTTCACCTAGTGGTGAGCCATTTGATACAAGAGTAGAAGTTCATAAGCAAAAATATTAAATGGAAACCTAGATGATTCACCTTGTTAATGCATATTTTTGTTTGGAATTTTGGCTTTTGTCTGTTCAAAACCAAAATGGTTCTGCTTTTTCAGATGAGGACAAACAAATAGTCTAAATAAAGATTATTTCAGTTCTTTCATTTATATGTTCCTTTAGGAACTTATTTTATGAGTGGATTTTTCCTTTCTGGTTTTGTTTGGGAGGTTTTTTTTGGTAAACAGCAGATCTGATGTTACTGTCACGTTGATCAAATTGCAATCTCTCATTGTATCCAAAATGAAGTCCTGCTTGTGACCAGGCTGAAAAATTGGCCCAGGGTGCTAGAAAGCCTTTAAAAAACCCCTCAAATCTGCTATATCTGATAAGAACAGGGAATTCATTATCTATATGTATTTTCATAACAAAATTCATTGGATGCTACTTTTTCTAAGGTAAAAGACAAATTAACTGATACACTGTGTCATAATTATCATCCGTTCTCCTGATTACTTTTCAAATAAAAGTATATTAAAAGAAACACTAATTTGGAGTCTTATGTTTGAAATTAATGGTCTTTCAGCAAATATTTCCTACTTTAAATGTCTAAACCTTTTCAAAGATTAAAGGAAATTAGTGTTGGCATGTTTCATTAATTTGGCACTGCAACAAGAGGAAATATGGGGGTAATTTCATTTATATGGATTAAGAAATGTGTCAGTTTTTCCATTCTGTCTCTCTAGGGCATTTTTTTACTGCAAGGCCTGTCATGATGACATCACGGATCCCAAAAGGATAAAAAAATGTGGCTGCAAACGGCGTAAGTAATATTTCTATCACTCCCTTCCTCTCCTTTTCATGAATTGTTCAGCCTTGAAGGATATCTGTACATGTGTTTACATGTTTTAGACAGTGGTACAGAAAAGCTAAGAAAAATGCACAGCAACATAGTAAGTTCCATTTGCATTTCTGAAGTCCATATATTTTTATTACATTTCACACCACTCACACCTGTTTCATCATTAAAAATTCCATTAGGGTCCAAGCTAACAAAACCTGAAGAATTAAATCAAGCTAGATCTAATTGTGGAAGTTTCTGAGTTAAGAACGAGCTAACAGTGAAGTTCTGCTCTCATTTATACCATGCAGAAATCCAGTAATTTCAATAGTTTTCTGCAAAGAACTTCTGTCTATCTTGCTGAACATGATTCTATAAAAGAAGAAACTAAGGAATAATATTCCATCATATAACTATTGAAATAAATTATTATTGAAATAAACAATCGGTTTTACTGGAGGAAGTGATTGTCTGGAAGAAATTAAATATTAGTGCCTCTTACATATATCCTTTCAGAAGATTCCATAGCTGTAATGCTAATATTTGGCTTAGTTAAGTTCTTAGGTTTGCTGTTTAAATTGTTTGGAAAATTTTGCATGAAGAAATCATTGAGTTTTGGAGTTGAGATCAGGCTTTGCATCTGTATTTTTATAAATTATAGAAATTGGCATTTTATCTATATATACTTTGAAAGGACTTTTTTCAGGAACTATCAGAACCACATTTTGGCTAAAGATGTGTTTGACCCATGCATATTTGTAATACTGATATCAAAAGGATTTAGGGATCCTTTTCTCAATGGGTATCTGAATATTTACGTGCATTCCATGGTATTCTCCCATGAAAAAGATTATTCAGTTCAAAAGTACTGATTAGGTAAATTGAAAGAGCTCAGATGTATTTGATCATGTCTATTTTACCATTACTTTTAAAAAGGAAAAAACTCTTTTATTTATAGATCCAATCATAGTGTTATCACTGCACTGGTGTAGAGGATGGAAGAAAGCCTAAACTGGACATTCTCTGCCTTTAAAGGGTGCCTGAAATTGATGAATTCTTGAAGATGATTTTAAAAAGAAAAAATGTGTCACTAGAGTTTTTAAAGAAACTCCTCTCCCTCTCAAAAAACAGGACTGTGGAACAAAGTAGTATAGTTGAGAGAAAGCAGCTGAAACACTGACAGAAAATGGTATTTATCCTCCCTGTAGCCACAAGGAGAGCAAAGCACATGGAAAGCATGCCTGATGTGGAAGGAATGTATGCATTGCCTAACATATCGGAAAAAAATTGTTCAAGAACAGTTTATCCATGTGAGAATGTGACCTTTGAACTGCTGCCAAAGCCAATGAGGCTGCTGAGTAAGTTCTGGTAGAGCCAGTTACAGATGCCTCGGGGTGCCTGTAACTCTCAAACCCAATCTTTTTTCCAAATTATCCAACAGTTAAAGAGAATTATGTTACCTGTTTAATTTTATCTGATTCTATCAAAAAAGACCTATTTTATTCGTATTTTCTCCTCTACTCCTCCTTCACATAGTGTATGCTTTTTACACGTGCTGATTAAAAAAAAAAAATAATTCCCAAAGTTCTGTCATTTTAATGTGACATCTGTGCTTTTCATTTAAATGTGTTAGAAGATAGGAATCGGGAATTCACGGTATAAAGGGCAAGAGCCCTTTATTATACATTAATGAGAATCAATGTAACCTCCTCAGTACTAGGAAACCGGGGAGAAAACAGAGTATCCTGTGATCCAGCCAACACTATGGATATATTACCAGCAGCAGGGCCATGGAGAGGTGAGAGTGACAACTTCTGTGTGTAGCACTAGGAAATGTTGCAAGTGGCATGGTCACACATATCAGTCCAATAAATGAAAGGGTGTTGGACAGATGAAGAAACAAAATGATGGAGTTAGTGAGGCAGAAGAAAGAGACAGCTGTCAGAGCTGCTGCAGTGAGCACTGAACACTAAGGAGGGAATCCTCTGAGTCAGGTGAAAAAGGAAAAAAATGGTCAGTGAGAGTAAAATCTTAAATTTCCCTTTCATTGTCTCCCCTCTACCTCTCCCCCCATCTGTCCTCTCCCCTCTCCTTTCCTACATACACACACATATGGTCATAGATACGATGATAGCTGGCAGCTCTCAGTACAGCTGAGAACAGCTTCCACTTAGGAGCACGCTCACAACTATTAGGAATAGTACAATTACTTTGCTTTTAAGTTCTGTCAAGCAGCAAAAAATTTAAATGAAAAATTTCAACAGTAATTAGTGATTTTTGATCTCTCAAATTTTGATGACAATCTTGAAATCCCATTTATGGGACCTGATTATTTTTTTTTTAAAGGTAAGTCTTTAGTGCAGACTGTTATTCACATCAAATGTCTTAGCTTTAGCTTTCGAATCACTAATCACTTTTGAAAAATCTTAACTATGTTATCCATCTGTAAGCTACACAAATCATTCGTCTTAAAAATGCAGTCTAAACAAAACAAAGCATAAATTGAGAAAACTCTTTCCCTATTGAATTAAGAAACTGTCAACTGATCTGTCAACAGCTAATATGTTAATTTGATTTTCAAAGACACTGCAAATAGTCACACATGCGTATATGTCGTCCTATATGATAAATACATATTTTAATTAGTGAGTAACATGGAAATTAGAGGCAGCTGAATGAGGAAAAGGTGTAAGATGAAATGAAAGGTTGTATGTAAAAATATTGACACATTCAGATGAATTAAATGTGAAAGAATATCTTTACATGGAAAACTTAATTATGGTGGCATTAATTAATGCAGCTTCCTGTGACTCTTGAAAACCGCATTCTTTAATAATGCATCTGAGGTTGCACATCAATTTAGATACTGTCTGAACATTAGCTTGTGGTGTTGTTGGGGTCTAAATGTGAGTCTGACCTACATAGTCATTTGTCCAAACCTGTTAGGCCTAATATTAATAATTCAGGGCAGATCATTACATTTCCACAAGGCCAGGGATAATTAAAGTAACCTCACTTTCCTTTTGCAGTTTCTTTGCCATCCCTTTCTCCTTACCCATCCCACTCCCCGAATAACATGAATGCTGATGTCACATTGTCCAGAGAAATGCTTGTGTGAAAATCTTATTCACAGATTGTTAATATTTTTTAATGTTTTCAATCTCTTTCCAATTCCATTTAACTGTAGTTTTTGCAGCAAGGGGCCAAATACATGTATATATTTATATAAAATGCAGCCATGTTGGGATGAAATCTCTAAACTGGATGACCTACTCCTCCTGTTTCTTTCATTTTGTGCAACAGCTATGGTCTAATTCTCTATATATTTTTTCCAGTGATAGTGCTTGCTGTGAACGGTGGGGACTGAACCCCAGAGGGGACATATCATGTGTACATTGATGTGTTTGAAGGAATTTCTTGTAATCTATGACAATTGACAAACTTTTGATTTATTTTTCCTCTTGCTGCCTTGGAACACGGCCCCTACTATATTTTAACTGCACACTGATAGTGATCTATTGTGAGTAAAAATGGGTTCCCTGTAGCCCAGAGTGCGGTCCAACCTGTCTTTCTCTAGCAGAGAGTATTTTTGTTCAGTATTTTGGTTCTTTTCTTTATTTATGTTGCATGTAGCAGTGATGTCATACCCACAAGTTTCTCATCGTTTACGCCCATGGAGATTAGGGTGATGTTGAAGAAAATACAGCAGTTTTCCCCTCTTCCAGCTTTTTGCCCCTTTTTTTCCACAACCTTGTTTTTTTTATCCCTATTTGAAAAAGACATCTTGGCAACAGTATTTCCTTTAAACGATTCGAGAGATATCTCATGAAATTTTAGGGATATTGATTAGGCTGGGGTAACTGCCACTATAGCACTGTTTGCCTGGTTAAGTGCCATTCATTGTCAGACCCATCTTCAAATTTTTTTTTTTACTTGGTATTTTCCATTGCATAGCTGACACAAAGAGCAACACAGCAGTCTTTTACTGTCCTTATCTAACTCCTTTCTCCCCGTTGGCAAAAAAAAAAAAAAGGAGATGGGGGAAAGCCAGACAATGAATTAAATGTTTGATTAACTTTTAATGTATAAACCTACAGGTATCTTCAACAAAAAAAAAAGCTACAGTGATTATTTTCCCCAGCTTGCTTGTTTTGAAATTAATTACATGAGTAAAGCCATGCTGACTTTTCAGGACCTAAGCTGTAGTTTTACCTTATATATAGAATATGAACTTTATAGACCACTTCATGTCAATCTAAGTCATATCACTTTAAAGTGTACAGAATCTATGAAGTCTCGTCAGCCCTTGTTAGAGTGTACAGTCATGATAATTTAAATAAACACAGCATTTGGGACATGGAAAGAATTTGCTGCTTAGAAATAAAAGCACTGCAAAGAAATGTACTGCTTATAGGGCAGTGTTGGGATTATATGGGCTTGTTCTTTCAAACAGCAAGAGGGATCAAATATTTCATAGCTGCAGTGAGGCTTTACTGTGCCATATTGAGGCTGCTAACCATACCGTATAACTGCAGCTATTCTAAATAAGTGAGGCTATAAGACTTTCTCAACATTTTACCAGATATTCTGAATTTATTGACACTTCAGGTTTTAATCAGGATTGAGATAGTGTTTTCCCTCTCAGCTGTACACACCGCAGGATCTTGCAAAGAATCAAGGAAGAGTTGACACTCCTGGACTTGCATGATAAAGTGCTAGCCACCTTGGAATTGTGATGACAGTCATTAGGATCATCATTATTTACTATTTATCTTATTGTGGTGCCTGCAAACTACACTAAAGGCTTGAGATCCTGTTGCAGTAGAAAGCATTCAAACAGAGAATAGAAATTTCTCCAAAGATCTCTTTTCAGCCAACAGAATGACACAGAAGAAAGATAGGGCAGCACAGAAAAGCAGATTGTGAAACAGGTCAGCATGATAAGAATCAGTACTTAATAATAAACCAGAAAGAAACTAATTTCTAGGGATAAAATGATGAATCCTATTGACTTTGAAGGAAAATACTGGAAGTGATTTGGATTTCTTTGAAGCAATGTATTTATTTAAAATATGTTTCTATGTTGAGGATTTTCTGGACCAGAGAAATTAGTTTAAATAGTAATAAATAAACAAATAAAACAGCTCTTCATGCTAAGAGAGTATTAAAAAAGAAAAGGTCATGTAGCTTTGACATGTTTTTTCCATTTCCCCAATAGCTTCAGTTTGTTCAGAAATGCAGTTAGCTTTGAGAGTACACTGGCTGAGAGTCTTCTTTAAGGTAATGAAGGAAAGGTCATGATCTGATTTGAAAATTAAAATGAATTGGTCTATAAATGTGCCATTAATTCAAAACCCATGAGTCATTCTTATAGCTACTAAAATAGGGCAAAATTTCCACTCAGGTAACCTGCTGTTTCTACACTTTTGACAAAGAACAGCACCGCATGAATTATAGGAAACAACTAACCAATTGCCTTTGAAAAAATTGCAAGATAGTGAACAAGCTGACTTGGTGGTCTTGAAGTTGTTCTTTAAAAATTAAATAAGGGAGAGATAGCTTTGCCTGTTGTGTCAAGAGAAAATAAATTCTCACCAACAGTTTAAGATATGCTGCTGTATTTTTCAGAAAACTGAAATTGTGCTGGTGGAAGTCCTTTCAATATTTCGGTCTCATGATGCTAACCAGCATTGCTAAAAGGCGATCATATCAGTCTGGTCGTCCTTTAATGTTGCTGTTGTTTTACTCATAGTGTGGATCATTAGAACTTGATGAATTGAAATGACACTGTATGCATTTCAATTCTTAAGTGTAGTGGGACCTTTTTTGCCATTTGCTGGTCAAGAAACCTCCAGTTCATTACCTTCCTAACCAGCTGTTATCTCAGAGAGATCCACTAGATGTCCTCGTAGATCTACTCTTTGTTACCGTTGAGGTCACAAGGAAAACTTGCTATAGCGATGGGTGGAACACGAGGATTGGGTAGACTGTATAGCTTAGGAAAAAAAAAAAAAAGAAAAGAAAAAAAAAACCCCAAACAAAACTCAACAAAGATGAAGGGATACGTTGTTCTGCTTGCTTTAAAAAAAAAAAAAAAGGAGCTGTTTCTTGACATCTTAGGTAGAGAATAATCTGCAGTTTCCTTTGCTTATTTTTGCAGCTGGAAATATTTCCCATTACTGTTTGTGAACTCTAAGTAATAACTCAGATCCAGACAATCCAGAAATTTGGACTGGACTTTTTGAGTTTTTGAGATCAGAAAGCAAGGTACTGCTAGAAGCTTAGACATCTAAGGCACATTCCTTCCTTGTTAGAACGGAAGGCTGTTGCCTTCTGAGAAAATTTGCAACAAAAAAAAGTTTTTAAAAGTATTTATTTACTTTATAAGGAACTGACAGAAATTTTGCTTTCCTTTTGCTCTTAACAAATCAGAAAATGACAAGTTCATACATGCCTTGTTTTGTCAGTAAATTACTTAAGTAGTCTGATTTCCGTGTCCATGATAACTTCCCCTGATATTTTTACTAATAAATTTTACAAATGCTGTGGGATTGTCATCATACTAAGTAGAAGGATCTGTTCTTCCTTTTTGTCCATTTATTATTCAATTGAAAATCAGGGAGTAATTTCCTTTATGTCCCAACTTACATTTTCACTAGTTGCAAATAACAGTTCTGTTCAACATCCATAACATTTCTATGAATAGAAATGAGTTGATTCTCACACAGGTGCTACAGGTGTCAAATGAATTTAACACCCACCCAGAGGCTGTTCTTAAGGTCCCCCTGTCTCTCTGATGATTCCCATTTATTGTTACTGTTCATGGAACTTTTAGAGGAAATGGTATGTGTGTGGCTGAACCATTTAAAACCATTCCTGTCTTGTCTTTGATCTTGTCGCTAGTCATCCCTACTAATAATCCATGTTTTGTTTTATTTAAAAGAAAATAAGTATTGTATTTGGTATGAATGTAACAATGACTGTATAAAAGGAATGAAGAGTAACAGCATGTTTTCTTTCCAAAATGTATTGCTCTGATATGCAGTTGCTTATATACTGGTTGAAACCCTTATAGCAAGTCCTTTCTGCTACTTATATTTCCAGGTCCAAGCCTGTTTCCTGCATGTTAATGATGTGAAATATCAAAATGATGCATGATCTCCAGAACACCAGATAATAATAGTTAAAAACAGTCCCTGAAAGGGCATTGCTTTTGAGAAGTGCCATGGAGTCCTTCCCCTATTGAACAGAAGGGCTTAAATTTCCCACTTCATTGGTTTAAGTCTGATGAAAATGGTACAAAAAGTTTTCCTTCCCAACCCTCTTTGCCCTTAAGGATGATTTCATTTAATTTTCATAAATGTGTCCTATCCTATTATTGACTGTTGACAAGATATGGCTACAAGTAAATGAAAACCAGGGACTGTTACTAACCAATGACATAGCAGTTGAGAATTTCTGAGCAGTGTGTTTTGCTACAGCATTTGATTAGAAAAAGTCCTTCAAAACAGCTATAATTAATACAAAATGGGCCTGCCTTTTACCTCACCTACTGTTCGTGTGTCTCACAAATGCCCTTTATTTTTGTTTCATTTCCTTAAAGTGAAAATAATAACATAGGCATAATGGAAAGACTTCCACATTTTTGGTAACATAGTTCACTTTTCTTTTTCTGCCCAACTTTTCCACTTTAAAGAATGTATTGGGAAGAGTTAGACAGAGGGAAACCATGGGAAAACAAATGCTGTTTTGAATTTTCTTAGTAGTTTGAATGTGTATGCATCAAAAGCTGCAGTGGAAACCTTCTTACTAAAAGCCAAGCTCTGAGGAATGATGTACCATGCAATGAACAAGCCTGATGCTGCATGATGACTTTCTGAACAGCTGTAAGATAACTCTACTAGGATGCTAAAAGAACATGGCATTAGTCATGTGAGCAAAGTTTTAGAGGAATGGAGTCACTGCTGAAGAGATCACTCATTCATCTCCCTCAATGCCTGTTTTCCACAATCATAATGTTACCCTTGCTTGACAAGTATACTGTATGGCAAGTCATCAAGGCCTTAGAACAGGACTTGACCCATTTGAGCAATTTCAATCCCTCTTCCCTGGTGACTGTGGCATTAAGAAACTGGAAAAAAAAAAAAGAGAAATTATTTTAAATTTAATGTTATTACCATAATGCAAAAAAGGTATCCTAAACTGAAGGTACAGGCCAGAGAAACATTACCTTTTTTCTGCATTTGCTTTTAAGGTTTTGTTTTTGCCTGTCAGTGTTCTGTTTTGTTTTTAGTATAATTGAGTCAGTTCAATCTAAACCATTACCAAAAGTGTTGGTTCAATGCAACATGTGAAACAATCTAAGTGGCCTTTGCATTCCTCCAGACTTAAACGTCCCTGTGATTCAGGTAACATACAAAATGGCACGATGGTACTTACACGTGCATTTATAAAATAGGATGCTGTATGTTTCTAGAAATATATAACAAGGCCTTTCAGATGACTGAAGGATAGAAATGTTCTAATCTAACCTGGCACTCCTTTTGGAATTAGCCTCTAATTCTACATTCAGTTATTTGGTTCTCCATCTACGTTTGAATCCAGAGCAGAAAACATGCCAATGATTGATTCAGCATGTTTCAGGGGACCAATGCTCTGTGTGCTTTTGGTGATGCCTTATTTGTGAACTGATTTTACTGTCAAGCATATTTACCATTATTAGTTGTGTCTCTTATATGGGCAAATTTTGGTATTCTGTCAAGAGTTAATTTGAATTCCTGAAGATATAATGTAAATGAAGTAAATTTTTTCAGAAAATTTTATGAACATCTTGTAACTCTTTAGTAATGTGTAATTTATTGCAATAAAGGAGTTCCCTGGCACAGTTTAATACAGAGAAATTATTAGCATATGTTTAAGAACAAATGTATTTATATATATGTATATATATGTATGTATGTGTATAATGTATACGTGTGAGTGTGTGTATGTAAGAATATACGTGTATGTGTGTTTTTGTGTGTGTATACATACATATATATATAGATAGATAGATAGATACATAAAAGCCTTTGATTTTTACAGGAAGTAGGATAGGCCAAAAATATCTAATGGATTAGCAACTTCAGATTTTTCTTTTCATTTTAGCCCAGTAGTATTAATTGTGCCAAGGGAAAAAAATATTCTTAGGATTCTCTGCTTTTACTATGTTCTTTTTTGATCCAAACACTTGACTGTAAACAGTAATTCTTCCCCATGTCTGCGGTCACCCTCTAAGACTGAACAGAAATAAAGAGCAATTTATCTTTTGCCCTACTTTTAATGTACAGCCAAAGTGTTATCAATAATCTCATTGCATTCTTTTTTCCTGGGTCAAGACTGTTAACATAAACTAAGGCCTGTATTAAATCCCTTAAATTACCTTCCAGCTGCCTTGTTATATATATAACCTTGCCATTAACCTGCTGCTCTTCCTCTCCTCCCATCCAACACATGGTTATAGCCAAGATGTCCATCTACAAGAGAATGAAACTGGCATGTTGTTTTGATTGCGGACGCTCTGAGCGTGACTGCTCTTGCATGTCAGGCAGTGTACATAGTAACATGGACACCCTTGAGAGAGCCTTCCCACTTTCTTCTGTCTCTGTTAATGATTGCTCCACCAGTTTACGTGCCTGTAAGTTTTAACACCAACACATGCTGTTCCATGTCTGTGGTGTCTGTGGTATCATCCCCGTCTTGTGTCGTACATTGTAGTTCTGTGAGTTTTACTGGGCTGATGCTTTTTTTAAAAGTCAAACCCAAATTTTAATACAGCTCTGTATTTATATTTCTGTTTTACTTTATTTTTAATATGAAAAATGTAATTCATTATTTTGCTTTGTGTGCTCTTTATGAAGCATGCTTTTGCAATAGCATGCAGGACCTTACTAGTGCAGTTTGGTGACATATTTTATTTAATCCATACAATATAAATTGTCATTAATTAAACAATAAGTGCTTCAATGGAGGAACAGGCCTGTGTCTAAATCTATGACTGATGCTAAGCGGACAGCTTTAATAGTGCTGGCACTAGAGCAGCATACAATAGGCAGTGAATAAATATACAGGATACAACTTAGTAGCTGAACTGTAGTAGCTAGAATTCTGTTCTATACTGCTACCGTTATCTTTACTTTTGTCTGTAACCCTTCATTCTCAATAACGCAGGACCTTCCATCTAATACTGAATCCACAGAAATCTTAGTAAAAATGGTTGTACTTTTTGTAGTGCCTTTTTAGAAGGGCTAGCCTGATGCAAAATTCCTGATGCAAACTTTTTGAAATTAGCTTTAGAATCTGTCCCATAGGACAGTACCATTCTGGAATATGCTCCAAAAGCTCTTTTGAAAGATCAGAGTTGAGAGGGAGAAGACAGAGAACTTGGGACAATTCTGCGTAGCCATTAATTCTTTGGGCAAACGGTAGGGATTCCAAAGCTTGCTTTATGAGTGTGATGTCAATAATTGAAGAAGATTGTTAAATAAAATTATGACTTTTTTTTTTCCCCCCACTTTTTTATCCTCTTTAGACATTCATAACAGGCAAAACTATGTCTCAGGACAGGAACTGTTTTACTTTCCCTACTATAAAATTATTCAGATACATCTCTAAGGAGTATTAGGAGTTTTGATCAGAAAGCATGTCCGCTTTACATTACAAGTCGTCACAGATAAAGATGCCTTCTACTACTAAGAGTACAATGTAGTTAGTAGATTATGCACCTGGTTGCCTTTTGATACCATATGTGTATTGCAGTATAAAGTTCAAGTGTTGAATGACTTCGCTTTAACTGTTTTGACATTTGAACTATTTTTCCAGACACAAATGTGGAGCATATAACAATACTATGATTTTATTAGCATTTTTTGTCTGAAGACTGTGTCAATTAAAGTGATTCTAATAGAATTTCTTGGAGATTTTACCAGAAATCTTCTCTCTGTATATGTGCATAGGCACTCTGAATGTCCTTTTTATCTACTTGTTTGTAACTCATGCATGACCTCAGGGGAGATGGTTCCCAGTTTTAAGTCCGATTCTAAGTTACAGGAGTTTTTATCCTTTAAAGAGACCTTTATCAGAGTAAAACATAGCAAAACATATTTTGTTAAGAAAAGTGAACAAGAAACCTTCCTAGATTGAGAATTACTGCAGGCAGTGTTACTTACATAGCCTAACAGCCTCAGTAACACAGTGCCTGGTATAGTTTGCATTAATACAGACTAGTACAGAGTGTATGTGGTTGGGTCCCAGCACTGGTGTTAACAGCAACCAGACCAGGCTAAATGAATATGTGCCCTACAAATGGGTGAAATTTCTGCCATTAGCACTGTTTGGCAAGGAAAGAAAAACCGTAATTTGTAGGTCTACCATAGCTTTCCAGTTCACTTAAGACTCTGCAGAGGCAGATAAAGTAAACATTTTTGATTGTGTCGCCTGCTGAGCCAAAAAAATCCACAATAATGATATTATTTCCACCAAAAACCAACACTTTTGGGAAGCACATTAGATCTATGTTACATTTTGAAGGATGAGTGATATTGACAGCTTTGAGGATTTTTAGCATCCTATCTTTCAAGGGCTTTTTCCTTCCGTCATCACTCCATCAAATCAAAAGAGAGCTCACTCTTCCCCTTGTGAGACTAGTCACCTTTGACTGTTAATAATAAGTACAAAAATCAATACCAATTCACACTCTCTGCAAAGCAGCATAAGCCTTTCTTTTCCAATTAATATATATATATATATATACACATGCAACGTTTCACTGGCAGGGCTTCAACAGAAATCAGTGTGTTTTCTTTGCAGTGCACAGGGGTCGTATAATGCCCATCTTGACAGAGCTAGTTAACTCAAAGAATGGCGGTGAGAGTCAGCTTTTCATTAAATATGAGCAGATGTGAAATGTAGAGTGTTTGACAATTAGAAATGGCAGCAGCAGGGCCCCAGAATCAAAGTGAGGTCAGATTGGTGGATCAGATTACCTCTCTTACATTCTTTAGTTGTTCTGAAAATCATTTTGAATTAGTGTCAGTGGAGCCACGATGGGTTTTGCCCTTTGTCTTTTATGCTAGGACTGTATTGTTTCCCCAGACACTCATTAAAGGTCATTATACTATTACAGGGCTTGCTTTGGTCGTGGTGCCCCAGTTGGGTTGGTTTGCTTCTACAATTGCTTAATGCATTTCTTTCTTTCTTTCTTTCCTCTTTTTTTTTTTTAAAAAAAACCTTTTGGTTATAAAAGCAGCCTTTTTCTTCAAGGTAGATAAAGTCACAGACCATTGTATGAAACTTCTTGGAACAATGAGTAGCTTCTGTAAGAATTAATGCTGTTTGTAAGAATCTGATGTCAAGTAGCAGATATCAATTTACATATTCAATGATGTACACAGGATTTAGTGTACTAATTGTATAATATGTAGACAAAGTAACACTTGCAGTGTATTTTCCACTGTGGATGAGTTTCTCTGTTATTATATTGTTGCCTGTACTTCCAGCAAATGAAAATCATATTTTGATTAAATATAATTATATTAAAATAGCTTTTGAGTTTATAGGCAGTTGTCTGGAAAAAAAATGGATATGATATTTCTAAAAGTAAGGAAATAGAATTTTAAAAGTTTTTCTGTCTACATTTTTTCAGGTTTAGCTGCTTTTGGTAGATTGCTACATGAACAGCAGTCAAATGGTCCAAGCATTTTTTGCACTGGAGAGTCAAGAAGAATTAGCATGAAGAGAGGCACTTAGTCACTGAAAAACCTGGGGTGGTTTATACAATGAAATTATGTTACTAATAAGTGTGATTTTTCTGCTTAGGTCTGTGCCAAATCTTGGGGAGTGCCGTTCAAATGATTAATTGATACAGACAGAATCTTAACCTGAACTATTTAATTTCTGTGTTTCTGTATCACCATATGGCTGTGCTTCTCAGGAACATCAAAAGTTCATGTTCCAAAAGGAAACCTTTTCTAAACTTGTTGCTGTGCCCACTGCCTTGGGAATCTAAATTTCCAAGGACATTCTTGATACTAGGCCCAGGCATATCTAATTCAGCTTGTGAGAAAACATGCTTTGGCATGCTCTGATAGTTCTGAGAAGCTTTATGTGAAGACTTTGACTTTGGTGAATATCAGAGATGTCCGGAGACAAAAGGCAAGACTAATTATTGCTATATTTTGAATTCAGGGCTCAGCCCAAACTCCTAGCCGTATTATGTGGAAAGAAAGACCATGCTAAGACAAGCTGGAGAAAGCTTAATTTTTGAAAGTAGCCAGAGTATATACCTACCTGTGTGCCAAGCCCAGTTTAGAACGATATATTCCATCTGATCTTCTAGTGGCATTGTGTGGTTTATGCTGAACAGACAAGTTAGCTGCTGAGTCTTTCTCAAAGGACCTAAAATCATATTCTGCAAGATTAGGTGAACATTTTGGGTAGCTTGCGTAAGGATGCCTGTTGAACCAAGGTTGGTACACTGTGCTGATATGCCTGGCAGTGTGGTTTAACAAGTTAAGTCAAGGAAAACTAGCTTCTTCATTGACCTGTGCTCCTTAGGGCAGTGTAGACTCTGCCTGTATGTCTTTACAACTTAAAAAACCAAATTCTATAATGGGAGTTGAAATGACATGTCACTTACTGATTTAGCCAGAGAGAAGAATGCATAACACACACACACTGGTCAGTGTATCTAAAACTCATCAGTTGTATAACTGTGCTTGGGCTTTTCTAAATGACTTGACTATTAAGTCCTGGATTCCTAAATTACTGGCTGAAAAGACAGCATAGTCTCTATTTCTCCCAGAATGCAAGAGCTGTGTCCTCTGCTTTCTACAGAACAAAACTAACCTACTACTTCTCTAGCCCTGCTGAAGTAGCCAGGACAACAAGAAATACTCGCTTTTATGGATGAGCTAAGGTGCAGTAAGGGCCTGTATGTGCCTTGTCAAAGGACAGCTTTCAGTGCTAGAATTTTATTTTCACCCTTCAGCAACAATGGTTTCCCTTTTATAGGGTGCATATACCACCTTGTGGTGGCTAGAGACTTTGAGATTCTCAAATGAGCTATAAATATGATCCCATTTACGTTATATTTATAATACTCTGAATAGGAAAAGATGAGGTACTACCACTGCTCTCTCCCACTACACACCTTTTCTGAGCTGTGAGAATTCTGTTGTGGCCACAGGAGGGATGGACACTCATTTGCTCTGAAATTCTTACCTTTACATAAACTGCATGAACACCTTTTCTTTAATATAACCCACTGATCCCTCTGTGGCCACACTGTCTCATCTTTGTCCTGCACAAAAAGCCAATAGCACACCTTTAATGTTTTGAGGAAGAAGAAATTGAAGGAGTAAATAAGCAATGAGGTCTGCTTGGAAAGGACAGACAGGTGTTGCCCCTTAGGGATGACATCATAAGGTCATAAGCAAGTGATTATAATCAGATCGTTATGATTTTTACAGCTCACTTCTGTGGGATGATCCCACCTCTGTATACTGGAGAATGATATAGCATTATGTTCTGTAGCCTGTTTTTTTGTTGTGGGTTGGTTTTTTTTTTTGTAAAAAAGATCAATGGAAATGGGACATTAAAATGAGACATAGTGCCAAATAAATTCCTGTTAATTCAAAG